AGCTCCTCATCTTTCTTGAACTGGGGAGCCCAGAACTGGACACAGTACTCCAGATGGGGCCTCACTAGGGCAGTGTAGAGGGGAAGGAGAACCTCCCTCGTCCTGCTGGCCACACTCTTCTTGATGCACCCCAGGATCCCATTGGCTTTCTTGTCAGCCAGGGCACACTGCTGGCTCATGGTTAACCTGTCGTCCACCAGGACACCCAGGTCCCTCTCCGCAGAGCTGCTCTCCAGCAGGCCCACCCCAAGCCTGTACTGATGCATGGGGTTGTTCCTCCCCAGGTGCAGGACCGACCACTCATCCAGCCCACACTTCCTCAGCTTCCCTAGGAGGATATCATGGGAGACTGTGTCGAAAGCCTTGCTGAAGTCAAGGTAGATAACATCCACAGCTCTCCCTTCGTCTACCCAGCCAGTCATGTCATCATAGAAAGCTATCAGGTTGGTCAGGCATGATTTCCCCTTGGTGAATCCATGCTGACTATTCCTGATAACCTTCTTTTCTTCCACTTGCTTGATGATGGCCTCCAGGATAAGCTGCTCCATTACCTTTCCTGGGATGGAGGTGAGGCTGACCGGCCTGTAGTTCCCTGGGTCCTCCTTCTTGCCCTTTTTGAAGATTGGAGTGACATTGGCCTTTCTCCAGTCCTCGGGCACCTCTCCTGTCCTCCAGGACCTCTCAAAGATGATGGAGAGTGGCTCAGCAATGACATCCGCCAGCTCCCTCAGCACTCGTGGGTGCATTCCATCGGGGCCCATGGATTTGTGGACATCCAGATCGCTTAAGCGATCCCTCACACAGTCCTCCTCAACCAAGGGAAAGTCATCCTCTCTGTAGGCTTCCTCTCTTACCTCGGTGCCTGGGATTCCCGAGGGCCTGCCTTGGCACTGAAGACTGAAGCAAAGAAGGCATTCAGTAGCTCTGCCTTCTCTGCATCCTCCGTCACCAGGACACCCGCCTCATTCAGCAGCGGCCCCACATTGTCCCTAGCCTTCCTTTTGCTGCTGATGTAGTTGAAGAAGCCCTTCTTGTTGTTTTTGACATCCCTTGCCAGCTTCAATTCCAAGTGGGCCTTGGCCTTCCTCGTCGCATCCCTGAACGCTCTGACCACGTTCCTGTACTCTTCCCAAGTGGCCTGCCCCTCTTTCCACATTCTATGGACCTTTCTCTTCCACCTGATCTCCGCTAGAAGCTCCTTGTTTAACCATGCAGGTTAATGTAATTAAATACTAGCCCACATTACTTGGTATAGTTTAAAAATAAATGTGATGGGAGACTTTCAAAGTCATTATGATTCCCAATTAGTCATTACTATCTGCTACATTCACAAACACTAAAGTAAATTTTCATTTATGAGAAGGTAATTACACGAAAGTATGTTAGCACAGGTGTATGGCATCCTCCAACAAAGCTGGGCACTGTAAATTAAAGACATCAAACCTGTTCTTGAAACATGGACAGCATTTCCCAGTCTCAGCTACAGAGCAGAAGAAAAAGAGCTCTGATTTTCTCTCCAGCAGTTATTTCACTACTTTTTACATAGGTATGCCTATGCCTACCTTTAAAGTTTTTTCTCCAGTGTTAGAGTCTTGTAATTTTTTCAATTTTAATAACCCTACCCGAGTCTTCTTTGGGCTTAGGAGTTTGTGTCATGAAGTTAATGTGTACATAATCCATTTATTCGATTGCTTTCTTCAGACAGTGTGCATTTTGGGCTGTTTGTCATTTTTCCAATTAATGAAAAACAGATTTAAAAAGTTAATTCAATATGTGATATCAGAATTTTTTTTTCCTGAAACAGCTTTGGGAAACACTGTGCATGTCACTTACTAATAGCAGCATACAGACTTGTGATTATGTATCAACTTTTACCTCAACACAGGTTTTCATCCCTGAGGCAGCAGCATAGTGCAAAGGTGTATTTTTTTTGTTATCAACAGCATCAATGGCTGCTCGTTCATATTGTCCTTCATCCAGCTTTGCTCCCTTCCACTTCAGCATCATTTGCAGACAATCCGCTCTTCTGCAGTCGTCTTCTGAGGGTCGTGTCAGGCGAGGATGAAGAGCGCCTTCCGAGATCATGATCTGAGGTCCCATACACAGTAAGTGCATAGATGTCTCATTGTGCACGTTCCGTTTATTCGGGTTACCATCCCTAACAAAAAGGAAAGTTCTGCAAGAGGGAAAAAATAGAAGAAAAATAATTAGCACACAATTTCACTCATTTCCATGAAGTGGGAAGGGTCCGTTATGACTGCTCTCTTTACTTCTTGCCAAGATTTTGACTATCCACGTGAGTGATAAACGTTCTTAATAGATAATTACTACTGGACAGCTCTCCTCCATTTCTCTTGGGAGTCAATAGCCAACATCAGGATGAATTACTGAAATATCATTAAGTGCCATATATAATTACTTTGTCAATGTGTGACATTAATTTTAATTGGCATCGTTTGTTCTACAGTTCTGTATTTTATTGCAATAATAGTTATTAAACCACAAGATTGATGAAATAGATAATTTCCTTCTTCTACTCTGTGTCCTGAATAGTAGTGCACTTAGCGTGAAAATGGATAACGCTAGAGCAACTTTTAAAAAATTCATTCTTCTTCCCTGTATCTTTTGTCAGGTGCCAAGGCAATAAGAAATACTTTTTCTGCTAGCACGGCACACATTGAGAAAAGACTCTATTTGCTTGCTCACTCTAAAATACATGGAAGTGCAACGTAATGCAAACCCTCACCCACGCAGATGACAGAGGCTGGCAAGAATTTAAGTCTTCTCTTGAATGCTTTAGAGGCAGTTCGAAGTGGACAATAAAGTATCCCGGCAAAAAGGATCAGCTTAGGAATGAAAGAGAAACAACAGACTGGTTCCTGGAATGACAGCTCAGATTCCTGACAGCTCCTGAGACAACGCAGCTTTCTGCTGCTTCTTGCCAGCAAGGAATTATAGAAGTTACAATCCAGTTCTGAAATGGAAGAACTGAGACACTATCATAAAAGCCCTGTGAATCCAAACTTGCTTTAGCCTTTTGAGGTATACTGTAAGAATACTTTTTTTCTTAAAGGAGGGTGAATGGTAGGAAGTGCCAGTCTCTTTGTAGGACTGGGGTCAGAGAGACAGCAATGGTGAAAGAACTCCATGTGAAGGTAGGAAGGACAGTTCCCAGAGAGGCAATACCAGGCTAGACCAGAAGCATGGCACATAGGTTCAAGAGGGCCCTGCAGCAACACCTGCGCTGCTCTCATAAGCCCCCTCATACATAAAACCAGCAGAAGTCACTGTTCATTCCCTCTCCAGGCTGCTCCCTGACTCTGAACAGTTTGCAGGTATGAAGAGTTATTCTGGAATCCTCCTTAAGTGAATACCAGGGACCAGCTTCCCAGCCTGAAAAGGTACTTCATGCCTTCTTTGCCTCAGTCTTTAATAGTCACACTAGTTATTCCCAGGATAGTCAGCCCCCAGTGCTGGACGATAGTGAAGGAGTGTGGCACAAACCTCCCATAATCCAGGAAGAAGCAGTTTACAACCTGCTATGCCACCTGCACACTTATAAGTCTACGGGGCCAGACTGGATTCACCCAAGAATGCTGAGGGAACTGGCAGAGGAGCTGGGCAAGCCACTCTCCATCATCTATCAACAGTCCTGTCTAACAGGGGAGGGCCCAGATGATTGAAGGATAGACAACGTAACACCCATCTAGAAGAAGGGCCGGAAGGAAGATCCTGGGAACTACAGGCCTGTCAGCCTGACCTCGGTGC